TGCTTTATCAAGAAGAGTAACCTGATGATCCACAATCCAGCATCTCAACTACTGCACTGCATTTGAACAAAGCTTATGGATGTCATATAAGCTGAAGACACACACTTACTGAACACAGAGCTAGAGCAGTTTAGCCAATAAATACACTTGTGTTACACACAACTGTGACATGCAAAAGTTTTAAAATGCACTACGCCTCCTTCGTTACACAAACAATGGTCACGGATCAAAAATAATACGTGTAAATCAAAAATGTAATAACGCTTTTAAAAAAAATAATAAGCACGAATCAAATCTTTAAACACATTTAAAATCATATTGCACAAAACTGAAATATTAATGCAAAATTATCCTTGGTTATGTTTCTCTGTTTTTTGTGCTCTCAGACATTTTCTGCACATATTTGTATTTATTTATTGTAAATATTGTATGCTTATGCTGTTTTTCCCTTTGCTCTTTATTCCACGTTCTGCGCTTCTTCTTCCAAATGTTGCGGTTAGAGTTTCATGTCTCTCAGGGCGTGCTTAAGCGTCATCATTGGTCCACTAGTTCTAGATTGACAGCTCCTCCTCAGCCAATCAGCCGAAGTGGGGCGGTGACGTCACTCCAACACGCCTCATTACTGCCGATGCTCCGTGTTCTGTGTTCACTTGTACAGGTGAACTTGTACACACCGTTATATGTGTCTGTCTGTCACTGCTGTACGCAGCGTGAAATCAAAATGTAAAAACGCAAGTAAAATTATATTGCACACAATTTAAAATGAAAGCAAAGTTTTCAAAATAGCAAACAATGGTCAAAATAAAAACAAAAAAAATAATAAGTGTAAATCAAAAATGTAATAACGCTTTTAAAAAAAATAATAAGCACGAATCAAATCTTTAAACACATTTAAAATCATATTGCACAAAACTGAAATATTAATGCAAAATTATCCTTGGTTATGTTTCTCTGTTTTTTGTGCTCTCAGACATTTTCTGCACATATTTGTATTTTTTGTATGCTTATTCTATTTTTCCCTTTGCTCTTTATTCCACGTTCTGCGCTTCTTCTTCCAAATGTTGCGGTTAGAGTTTCATGTCTCTCAGGGCGTGCTTAAGCGTCATCATTGGTCCACTAGTTCTAGATTGACAGCTCCTCCTCAGCCAATCAGCCGAAGTGGGGCGGTGACGTCACTCCAACACGCCTCATTACTGCCGATGCTCCGTGTTCTGTGTTCACTTGTACAGGTGAACTTGTACACACCGTTATATGTGTCTGTCTGTCACTGCTGTACGCCTACCTGGCGATCCGTTAACGTTAAATGAGTAAATCTGTAAATTATTTTTGAATTAATGTAATGTTTTTGCATTGAAAACAATAGTGCTAAAGAGTAGACAGTTACAGAGGCCAGGTGGATTTGATATACACAATGATTTATTTGCATGTTGTGTTTATTTGCATAGCTACATATATGATAGATTGAGGAGGAGCTGTCAATCTAGAACTAGTGGACCAATGATGACACTTAAGCACGCCCTGAGAGACATGAAACTCTAACCGCAACATTTGGAAGAAGAAGCGCAGAACGTGGAATAAAGAGCAAAGGGAAAAACAGCATAAGCATACAATATTTACAATAAATAAATACAAATATGTGCAGAAAATGTCTGAGAGCACAAAAAACAGAGAAACATAACCAAGGATAATTTTGCATTAATATTTCAGTTTTGTGCAATATGATTTTAAATGTGTTTAAAGATTTGATTTGTGCTTATTATTTTTTTTAAAAGCGTTATTACATTTTTGATTTACACTTATTTTTTTTGTTTTTATTTTGACCATTGTTTGCTATTTTGAAAACTTTGCTTTCATTTTAAATTTTTCAGTTTTGTGCAATATGATTTTAAATGTGTTTAAAGATTTGATTCGTGCTTATTATTTTTTTTAAAAGCGTTATTACATTTTTGATTTACACTTATTATTTTTTTTGTTTTTATTTTGACCATTGTTTGCTATTTTGAAAACTTTGCTTTCATTTTAAATTGTGTGCAATATAATTTTACTTGCGTTTTTACATTTTGATTTCACGCTTGGTTTTTTTTGTTTTGTTTTTTTATCCGTGACTGCAATACATTTGGCAGGAGTCTGATCCCATACATGCAGTCTACTTAACGACCAAAAGAGAAAAAGAAAAAATACTGGCTCCATGGAAATATATTTTAAATAATTCTAGGCATTTAAGGGGGAAAAATACATTGAATTAATAATAATAATAAATAAGTAGAATTTGTAGAAAAGCATGCCATTTCACTCAAAAACAACAACGAGAGGATACCTTTGGCAGGAGCAGCTAAAAGTAGGATCTACAGCAGGAGAAGAGCATTATTAATGTAATACAGCACAGCCTGATACACTGTCATCCACAGCAGTGTGTCTGTAATAAACAGGCCAGTGTTTCTCAGCATTACTGCATCCGCATCATTGTTGAACCCCCTCAGAACAAAATATGCTTATTGATTTCATTAGTGCAGATAATGATGAAGTTGCAGTTTAGTACATTCAAATTGTATGCGCTTTAGTATGTTAGTCAGTTATTGACATTGTTACAAAGTGCACTATAAGTGTGGTTAAAGAAACACAGTTATGAATGTCACTATAATGGCCTTTTATTTCATTTTTTTTTTAAATATACTTTTAAGATTTGATGTACACTATATGTGCACATTCAATACAATGAGGCACACTTCATCACAAGGGGAAGCTGCGGCAATATCTCAGTAATAAGCAAGATAATATTATTTTGTAATATTTGCACATTTTAAAGATATGTAGGTTACTTACTGTTACGTTTTTGATTGGCTTTTCAGGTAAAAATACTGTAAAAATATACAAATACTTAATAAGATATACTAATCTATCTCAGACATACATTGGTTTAAAAAAAAATATTCCACAGACTCCGTGCAATCACAGCTTACACCACTATGGGTCCGAGACAGAACACGAGGAGATATTTTCCCAGCAGCATCTCTGTGAATTAGACCTGGTTATTATTTTAGGTTGGTTTGGTGTGTTTTCCAGACTCACAGATCCACAGATGGTAGAGTCTCTTGCACATGGTGCGGTGCTGGTCAGGAATCTCCTCAAAGTCCTGGTGGAAGCACGGCTTCAGAGGAATAAAGCCAGGCAGAGGAGGAAAGTTGTTCTCTACAGGACAAATCAACAGAATAATGCATACATGTACAGTAAAATGCACTTTGTTATTGTTTATACTTTTGTAATGAATGAAGTATTATTATTATTATTAGTAGTTTTACAATAAATAAATACAAATATGTGCAGAAAATGTCTGAGAGCACAAAAAACAGAGAAACATAACCAAGGATAATTTTGCATTAATATTTCAGTTTTGTGCAATATGATTTTAAATGTGTTTAAAGATTTGATTCGTGCTTATTATTTTTTTTAAAAGCGTTATTACATTTTTGATTTACACTTATTATTTTTTTTGTTTTTATTTTGACCATTGTTTGCTATTTTGAAAACTTTGCTTTCATTTTAAATTGTGTGCAATATAATTTTACTTGCGTTTTTACATTTTGATTTCACGCTTGGTTTTTTTTGTTTTGTTTTTTTATCCGTGACTGCAATACATTTGGCAGGAGTCTGATCCCATACATGCAGTCTACTTAACGACCAAAAGAGAAAAAGAAAAAATACTGGCTCCATGGAAATATATTTTAAATAATTCTAGGCATTTAAGGGGGAAAAATACATTGAATTAATAATAATAATAAATAAGTCGAATTTGTAGAAAAGCATGCCATTTCACTCAAAAACAACAACGAGAGGATACCTTTGGCAGGAGCAGCTACAAGTAGGATCTACAGCAGGAGAAGAGCATTATTAATGTAATACAGCACAGCCTGATACACTGTCATCCACAGCAGTGTGTCTGTAATAAACAGGCCAGTGTTTCTCAGCATTACTGCATCCGCATCATTGTTGAACCCCCTCAGAACAAAATATGCTTACTGATTTCATTAGTGCAGATAATGATGAAGTTGCAGTTTAGTACATTCAAATTGTATGCGCTTTAGTATGTTAGTCAGTTATTGACATTGTTACAAAGTGCACTATAAGTGTGGTTAAAGAAACACAGTTATGAATGTCACTATAATGGCCTTTTATTTCATTTTTTTTTTAAATATACTTTTAAGATTTGATGTACACTATATGTGCACATTCAATACAATGAGGCACACTTCATCACAAGGGGAAGCTGCGGCAATATCTCAGTAATAAGCAAGATAATATTATTTTGTAATATTTGCACATTTTAAAGATATGTAGGTTACTTACTGTTACGTTTTTGATTGGCTTTTCAGGTAAAAATACTGTAAAAATATACAAATACTTAATAAGATATACTAATCTATCTCAGACATACATTGGTTTAAAAAAAAATATTCCACAGACTCCGTGCAATCACAGTTTACACCACTATGGGTCCGAGACAGAACACGAGGAGATATTTTCCCAGCAGCATCTCTGTGAATTAGACCTGGTTATTATTTTAGGTTGGTTTGGTGTGTTTTCCAGACTCACAGATCCACAGGTGGTAGAGTCTCTTGCACATGGTGCGGTGCTGGTCAGGAATCTCCTCAAAGTCCTGGTGGAAGCACGGCTTCAGAGGAATAAAGCCAGGCAGAGGAGGAAAGTTGTTCTCTACAGGACAAATCAACAGAATAATGCATACATGTACAGTAAAATGCACTTTGTTATTGTTTATACTTTTGTAATGAATGAAGTATTATTATTATTATTAGTAGTAGTATTATTAAGAATTTATTTAGTTATTTAGTTAGTTAGTTAGTTGGTTAGTTTTGATTTAGCATGCTTACCAGCCATTGGGAAACTGGTGTTGGCTAGTTGTGCTTAAGAGCTGTGAAACTACAAGTGAAAAGCATACATATGATCAGCTCAATGTATGTACATTATGAACATTTACAGAATAATGAACATTGACCAACAGTAGGGCATGTAGGGGCAAGTTGTCACAGAGTTTGAAACAATTACCTTTTTTCTGCTCACAAGGCTGCATTTATTTGATTAAAAATACAGTACAAAATTGTGAAACATTATTGCAGTTTAAAACAGCTGTTTTCTATGTGAATCTCTGTTAAACTGTAATGTATTTCTGTGATGCGCAGCTGTATTTTCAGCATCATTACTCCAGTCTTCAGTGTCACATGATCTTCAGAAATCAGTATAATATGCTGATCTGCTGCTCGAGAAACATTTCTGATTATTATCAATGCTGAAAACAGTTGTGCTGCACAATATTTTGGTGTAAACTATGATACACAAACACAAAAGGACAAAGAAATGAATACGTTTATTCAGTAAGGGTGAATTAAACTGTTTAAAAGTGACAGATTGTAAAGACATTTATAAAGTTACACAATATTTCAAATAAATGCTGTTCTTTTGGGTTTTCTATTCATCAAATAATCTTGAATACATGCTTTACAGTTCCCGCATAAATACCAAGAAGCAGAAACTTCAGCACTGATAATATTAGGAACCATTATTAATCAATCGCTAATAATTGGGCACAAAATCAGTATATTATAGTGATTTCTGAAGATCATGTGACGCTGAAGACTGGAGGAATGATGCTGAAAATACAGCTGCGCATCACAGAAATACATTACAGTTTAACAGATATTCACATAGAAAACAGCTGTTTCAAATTATAATAATATTACTGTTTTTACTGCATTTTTTATCAAATAAATGCAGCTTTGGTGAACAGACATTACAAGATCTTATCTTAAAAACATTAAAACATCTTAATGACTTCCAACCTGACACTATAGCCTATGTTAATATAATAGTATATATATATATATATAAAAGAAGACCTTGAGGTACATATTAGCCTAAATATGTGGGCATTTGAATATAGTCATGGACAAACAGGAGTCAAAAAGGTCTCTGAGATCGGGTTATATTCAAAGTCCAGCTGAAGAACTGCATGCTTTGTTTAAAACGACGACACTTTGAACTCTCTTGAAGCTGATAGTGTTTCATGTCTGCATGTGTGCATGTGTGCAGGCTGGGAGTGTGTTAAGAGCTCTGGATTAAGACACAGGATCACAGACAGGCTATAAGTGTGTGTTTTCTATACTGACACACTAAAATGCGTCTCGACATTTATCTTCGGACTATTGCTTACATCCCTGATGCTGCATGTGTTTGTTTCGCGGACATTTACTACAAACAGTGAGCAAATGAAATCCATCCATCATGTCAGCTCAAGCTAAGCTCAGAGAACGAATGGAGAGGAAAATAATCGCTTTACCTTGTCCTGCACACCGAGAGCCCTACAGTAACATGACTTCTAGTGCATGCTTAAGCACTCTTTCACAGCAAACCAAGCACAGCACAAACTAAAGGAAGCAGAGACGCTCGTTTCTTCAGTTTCTTGTAATCTTCATTGAGTTAACACATTCCTCGCATATCCAGACACATCAATGACTACGCTTACGGATTTTAGCCAATAGGAGTGCAGTATTACGTTCTGAACACGCCCTCTTCCACCTCGTTGGCCAATCACCGCGCTGGACGGCGGTTGCTGTCCGCGGTGCTGAAGTTGTGTTTGGTGCGCGTGTTAAAGACCTTCGACCTGCGACTGACCTCGTTATCATGACCAAGTATTTGATTATCAAGTATTTCCATGCATATAAACGAATGCAAGATGTTCTTCTCTACAAATGTAAAGTTATTCGTATTTTAATCACAAGAGATTTCAAATACCTCAGAAAGGGATTTAACAAGTGCACCTAATAAATGTCCAAAAAGGCGAATATGAGTCACATATTTGTATCAACAACCAACATAAGTGTGTAAATCATTAGATCAATTATGGAAGCTGTCATAAACTCCTGAGAATATAGAGTGAAGTTCTCCCTCACTGTAAACAAATGCAAATGTTCTAAATAAAGGACATATGTTTGGAGTAGCCTACGCTATTTCAAATTTCAGTATGTCAAGTTTAATTCAATTATTTTATATTGTTTCTAAAATATGTTTCAGTGTTCGTGCATTTGCATTGTTTCGCCACTAAGTAGCAGAGTTTCTATGTCAACTCATATCTACTTTAAAGCTTCATTTCTTAGTTCTATCATGCTTATAAATGTACAAACGACATTTCCCCCTTACAATTACATTACATACTGTAAGTAAACTCATAAAACGCTCAAATACACTTATGAATGCAACTGATATATTCATCTTATGGACAATGTTTTAACTTTGGGAGGTACATAGATAAATAAGACATTTATTTGTCTTTATAATTGTGCATTTCTTAATTATTTGGTGACGTTATGGGATCAAATGCATGCAAGCAGAGCGAGGATGAGGGTGGAGATTAATGACAGTGAGTGAGGACTGGTAATCTCTCCTGTCAGGCTTGCAGTGAGACTGAAGCTGTAGCAAAAAGATGATTTAAGGATCTCAATATTGCAATATGGCTTTTTTAATTCAAACCGTGGATCGGAGGATTACAGTAGCTTTACCTGAGGACACCCCAGTGCTTCAGACACAACACATCCTTCACAATGATTGGTCTGCTGCATTCATATATTCCCATAACTGCTGCATTTGCCGCCTGTTTCTGTGTCTACAAACCTTGTCTGTTTGGTCTCCACAGACTCCCGTCTCCAACTCGACTCTGTCCTTCTGTGGCTCTGATAACTCCTCAGCATATAAGGTTGATAATGGCCTGCTGAATAACGGCTGCTTTCTGGACGCTCTCGGTGTCGTCCCTCATGTCTTCTTGCTGTTTAGCACCTTCCCCATCCTCTTCATCGGTGAGACGCTTTCTCAGACTTCACATTTTGCACTTGAGATCAACTCATTATGAACCTGGGCTTGGGTTCAAATATGGTCCTCCAAGACACAAATAAGAATATCAAACATTGTTCAAGTGCATTGAGAAAAATCACAGCTACACTCAACTGTTTTCAAATCGTACCATTTTTGGTTCCCCAAAGAACCTTTCAATGAACAGTTTTTAAAAGAAGCAATTGTTTTTAATGTAAAGTACATTTGAATAATCTAAAGAACCTTGTGTGCAATGGAATGGTTGCATTGATGTTATAGGTAGAGAAGCTTTATTTTTAAGCTTTTAAGATGCTGTGGTTTTGTGTGATGGTGTGGTTGTGTTCGTAGGCTGGGGCAGTCAGAGCTCTAAGGTTCACATTCATCACAGCACGTGGCTTCATTTCCCCGGTCATAACTTCCGCTGGCTGCTCACCATTGTCCTGCTCTTCGTGCTGGTGTGTGAGATCGCTGAGGGGATCGTGTCGGACGGGTGAGAACAACTACTAAACGATGGCTTCGCTTCAGTCGTTATCAGCCCATTGGTGCTTGACAGTTTTGCAGTTATTTAGTCATGAGGAATAAAAAAGTTTTATATATATATATATATATATATATATATGTGTGTGTGTGTGTATTGTATAATCAGTACGTCTCGAGTTTCTCGAGCAGCAAATCAGCATATTAGACTGATTTCTGAAAATCATGTGACACTGAAGACTGGAGTAATGATGCTGAAAATACAGCTGCGCATCACAGAAATAAATTAGTTTAATATATAATATAAATGCAGCCTAGCTGAGCAGAAGAGACAACTTTCAAAAACCTTAAAAATATATATATTTTTAGGAATTTAAACAAATGTTAGTTGCATTGAGATCATAAAAATGTACGTGTAGATAAAGCCTCATTTTCAGCACAGAACTATAGATAATAAGAGGCAGTTCAGCCCGTGACGAGTGTGATCCTGTTGCAGTATTTACTGACTGAATGAAATTCTCCACCAGGTTTAATCAGTCCCGTCATCTCCACCTCTACATGCCGGCAGGACTCGGGATACTGGCTGCCATCACGTCCATCGTCTATTACCATAACATAGAGACCTCCAACTTCCCCAAGCTGCTTATAGGTATAAGCAGACCCTGACAGCATGATTCATCACTGGACTGATGCAGTTATTATGATCCCTGAGATAAACACTGAATGTAGTGCAGTATGCAAACGTCTCATAATACGTTCATGAATTATTTCTCTTCTCACCCAGCATTGCTGATCTATTGGACTTTGGCCTTTATCACCAAAACCATCAAGTTTGTGAAGTATGACGATCACGGCATTGGTTTGAGGGAGCTGCGTTTCTGCATCACAGGACTGCTGGCGCTTCTGTACGGCTTGCTGCTGGGAGTCGAGGTCAATGTGATACTGCGGAGGGTAAGCACGGGGTCAGAGGATTGTTTATAGCGGGTGTGTTTGTGTAAAATAATGCATATCTGCCACACAGAGAGTGGATTAATGGAGACAGTGTTTAAAGGGACAGTTCACCCAAACATGAAAGTTTGCTGTTAATTTACGCAGCCTCAGGCCATCCAAAATCTAGGTGACTTTTTCATCAGTTGAACAGTGAAGAAGAGTTTGAGCTGAAACCGTGCTCCTTGTGAATCATAAAATGCAAGTCAGCAGCTGTACGTTTTTGAGAAGAAGAAAAAAAAACATGTCAAGGAACACAAATTAAACCCCCACGGCTCATGACAATATATCGAGGTCTTATGAAATGAAACAATCAGTCTGTGCAAGAAACTGAGCATTATTTACAAAACCATTACCATTATTTCCAGTGGTGACATCAGAAATGTCATGCATAAAAATGTTATCTTTGATCATTAAATTGCACAATTGCAAGAACAAATATTTATATTAAAACGTTGTGTGTGTGAAATGCTGGAAAAATACTTGTCTGAAAAAACGACCTATTAACCATTCGCCTCCATGTCAGACAATAAAATAAAATAAAATAAAATAAAATAAAATAAAATAAAATAAAATTAAATAAAATTAAATAAAATTAAATAAAATTAAATAAAATTAAATAAAATTAAATAAAATAAAATAAAATAAAATTAAATTAAATTAAATTAAATTAAATTAAATTAAATTAAATTAAATTAAATTAAATTAAATTAAATTAAATTAAATTAAATTAAATTAAATTAAATTAAATTAAATTAAATTAAATTAAATTAAATTAAATTAAATTAAATTAAATTAAATTAAATTAAATTAAATTAAATTAAATTAAATTAAATTAAATTAAATTAAATTAAATTAAATTAAATTAAATTAAATTAAATTAAATTAAATTAAATTAAATTAAATTAAATTAAATTAAATTAAATTAAATTAAATTAAATTAAATTAAATTAAATTAAATTAAATTAAATTAAATTAAATTAAATAAATATATGGTGGTACTACTACTACTACTACTATTACTACAAATATAATAATAATAATAATAATAATAATAATTATTATTATTATTATTATTAACATTATATAAATAGTAATATATAAATATAAATAATCATAAATAAAATATATAAATAATAATAATAAATAACTTTTATTTATATATATACTGTGAGACAATTGAAATCTGCTGGAAAAATATTATTATTTTCCTGGGAAAAATAAATAAATAAATAAATAAATAAAAACTTTGGAGGACATTGACGATTTGGCATAATTATTGCTAAACAATTAATAAAAAAACAAACAAAAAAAACAACAACATAACATAACACAAATCAATAAATAAATGTAGTTTATTATTCTTTACTGGTATTATCTGGCAGGAAAAAATATATATGTTTGAATGTATTTCTTGGAAAAATACTTCTCTGAGAAAATACTTAGTAAACATTCGCCTCCATGTCAGACAATAAATTACAGCATGAGGACACTGGCGCTTTAGGTACGGCATGATCTCCTCGGTGTGTTGCATAATCGTGCTGCTCCAGCTCCATGTGAGATTAAAATACGGAGAGCCTGGCTGTAGTTTCCAGCTGAATCCAGTGGCACCGCAGCGCACAATGAACTTCTGTTTGTGTCTGACAGCTGTTTGCGAGCTGGACGGGGGCAAATCCCTCACTTTCCGCTGGCTTTGCTAAGCTGTTTATCAGGAGGGCTGTGTTCTTCTGAAGAGAACAGAGACTCAATCCAGGTCTTGAACTTACGACTGCTTAGAAATGAATGTTCATAACTCATCACCGGGGATAATCCAGGCTCGTAACCGGACCTCGTTTGGCCTCATGGTTTGGTCAAGAAAATAATGCATCATCTGTTTTTGGACATTAACATAAGTAATTCTGGAGTTTGAACAAATTGGAAACAAAGTATCTAGACGTGTGCAAAACAAGTCTTGTTTTAGAAAGCTACTAGTTTTACTAGAGCATCCTTTGTGAAAGTGTATGCTTCAGTGAGAACTGAGTGCAGCTTTCTTTAGACACTTAATTGCATGTTATCTACGTTTAAAGGAATATGCATTATATTTTAAAATTGATATTAAATGTAATTAGTTAAACTTAAGAGTGCCTTTTTAACCCACTTACGTAGAACTTCACGACATCTTTATATGTAATTTCATAATTCAATTTGTCA